CCCCAAAACCCCAAAACCCCAAAACCCCAAAACCCCAAAACCCCAAAACCCCAAGAAGGATAATAATAATTGGAATTGGAGTGTCGAAAATGGAGTCGTATGAAGAGGAAGGAAATGAAGGGGCTACACAGTGACTGTCTGATGAGGATTGTAGACTAGAGATCGATAGTGTCGGGTTTGGCAGTGGTAAGAGGGGTTGAGGGGTAGGGAGGGGGATTTTGGGATATAGGGAGGGTTTAGGTGAGGTTATGGTAGCAATGTTAGTTTTAAAGAAATATTTAATGGGTCTTAAGTATAAGAATTTTTTTAACTATTTTTTATTCAAATCTTTCTTTGAAATATGTTTTGAACATTTTCTTTAGCTCATCCTGAATCAGAAGAAATAAAATCTGTCCCTGAAGTGCATACAGCAGAAGGTAAGACTACTCTTAATCTCCTTCTCACTCTTATAGAAGTAAAAGTTGTTGCTAGAAGTTCAGAAGAGGAAGCAAAGAAGAAACCTAAGTTCAATAAGAAGCATAGAAGTTCTCAAAATCCAACATATTCTTTATACTTACAAGAGTTTACTTCAATTCCAAAATATCTCGAAGAACCCAAATATTTGAGCAAGAATGATTTCGAGAAGGTTGTGCTTACAAGTTACCCTAGAAGCGGGAATACTCTATTGCGCAAGTACCTTGAAGATATTACAGGTATGCACTCCAACCTCATTAACTTATGTTAAACCATATTACAGGAATAATCACTGGCAGTGACTGTGACGTCAAGAGAAGATTAAACAGCGACCTTGTGGAAATGGGCATGTCTGGAGAGGGAAGAGTACTCTTTAAGGATTATTAGTATAGACCAATCACTCAATATGGGTTGCTAAATCGCATTACCCAGAGAGATATGGAGCATCCAAGTTCATGGCCAATAAATGTATCCTTTTAGTAAGGCTTTTGTGTGACTTTTATAGGTCAGAAATCCATTAGATGCTATAATTTCGTTGTTCAATATGATCGCTACAGGAACACATAATTGATCGATGTCTGAAGAGGATTTCACATCCTTCAATGATTACTTTGATATGTTTGTTTCCCAAGAAATTGCTGTATGGAGAGACTTTCATTCCTATTGGATAGATCCCGAACCTGATATCCCAACCTATGTTGTCAGGTACGAAGATTTGTTACAGAAACCTGAAGAGACTCTTACAGAATTGTTTTCATTTTTATTAAACCAAAATGATCTTTCTGGAACACTAATCGAGCATTTAATTAAAAAGCATACAAGTAGAGGTGTCAAAAAGCAGGTATACAAACCGAGAGTTGGCAAAGTAAATGCAAATAAGTCTAAATACACCAAAGATCAATTGAGCCAAATCAAGAAGGTAACCTCCTGATCTCATACATAGTTGGCTGGCCAGATGATTAGAAGAATGGGATACCTTGAAACAGAGAATGAATTAGATAAAACAGATACAGGATTCTTCTCTGATGATGAAGAAGTAGATGCATCTAAGGATTATGAATGAGACTCACTTTTTAGAGGAAATTCTCTTAGAGATGTTACAATGAGGTATAGATACCATGAGTTTAACAGGAACACCCTTGGAGAAGTGTGCTCAAGCGAGCATAAATATAAGGTGGAAACAAAGACAGATATCCCAGAAGTCCAAATCAACTACTCTAATGATTTAATTCGTCAAAAGAGTGCTAGAGACCCATCGGGAAGAGGATCTAAGCTTTTTAGAGAGGTTCTAAGAGGAAACGTAACTGCTGTCGATCCTGATGGAAACATTGTGAGAAGGCCAAGAGGATTCCGTAAACCTATTTAAATTTTGACTAAAAAGAAGAAACCTTCCTAAGTATAAAGTAATTGAGCAGATTGGGGTTTTGGGGTTTTGGGGTTTTGGGGTTTTGGGGTTTTGGGG